GAACACTGCAATTACAGTATGGGGTGTTGCAAGATGAACTTATTAGAGACAGACCTGGTGTTGGACTGTTGTTTAAGGGGCTGTCTGAACACATGAAGCTGGATGCAGAACCCCCTTTAGATATAGATGTTAGGAAGTGGAAAAAAGGGCAAGCTTTATTATGAGACACCATAGCAAAAGCAAGTGATAAGTCTATGGAGAGAGTAAGAGTTCTTAAGAGATGTAAATCTTCAAATCAACTCATTTAAATCAAATTTATTTATATAGCACTTTACAACAACAGCAGGAAGACCAAAGTGCTTCACAGAAAGATAAAAACAGCAAAAAAAAAAAACTTAAATTATAAATATAAAACAATGTGTCCTAAGTATTAAAAGCCAGTTTTAAAAAATGAGTCTTTAATTTGGACTTCAAAAGGTGCAGATCAGCGAGAACTCGCAGACCGAGGCGCAGGTTGTTCCACAGTTTAGGTGCGGTAACCACAAAGGAACAATCGACCCCCTGTTTATACCGGGACCTAGTGACGTCCAGAACCTTTCTTCTAAAACTAAAGTCCAGCAAACTAATAGGTCTCACAATATCCAGCATACTGAAGCAAAAACCCAACAGTTCCACTAACAAATGTGGTGGTCCAATTAATTTCAGATACCATACCATATTGTAGGCATTGACCGACACTGACTGGATAATACAGTATATTAGCACAATTTATTAAAACCTACATTTACTCATTTTGTAACGTGGAATGTTGGGAAAGGCTTGATCAAGTGACATTACTCAAACTGAGAACAATAATCAACAACTACATGTATGAGAATAACAGACCCATTTATTATTAACCAATAGGTAAAATCAAACTAACAGTAGACAACATTCTAATGCCTCCAAGAACCACACAGCATTCTAAAAGATAGAGATGCAATTTATAGAAGTATTTTTTGCCTTTGAATTTGTTGTGGGATTACTTCAGGCTTGATTGACGCATTGGCAACCACATAGGTTATTATCGTAATACCTTATCTTACCTTACCTTATCTTCACAGATTATGTAAAATCTAAAAACTTAGCATTTCATAAAAAAAAAAAAATTGGGAAAAGATCAATTTAGAACCCTCTCTATAAATATTTAACTCCCTGTGAATTAATGCTGATCATTCTTTAATAAGATCTTCGTAAAACAGACATGCAGTGTTTTTAAAACCTAATCTGTCTAATGGACCTAGAGAATAATTGTTATTATTTTGTGTACAGAAAAGTACGAAAAAAATCTCCCGACTAAATCAGGAAATAAAACAACGTATTTGGCTGTAATGAGCACGGAGTCAGAGGACACTCTGAGTTTACTGAACAAAAACTGCTTCCGACCATGTGCCCACATCCGCACTAATCACTATATAGGGCACTACATAGTGGTTACGGCATTTTAAATATGCGTCCAAACATCTAGTGGATAAAAGATAACTCAAAATTTCCCACAATACAGTCTGAAAAGTAGTGATCGTTCATGGTCACTAGACGAGCAGATATATCCCCGATTGCTTTACGAGAGCTCTCCTCGCAAAGCATCATGGGATTTGTTGTAGAGGTGACTAATAAACATGGCATCGGCACCATGCAGGAGGCAGAGTTACATGACCAACGGGGAGTGAAAAGTAGTACTCATCTGTCCGAATGGTCAGTTAACTGAGTTCACTATAAAGTCAAATATATAGTCCCTGCTCTATATAGTGATTGAGGTATTTAGGGTTTAGGGTAGGGGTGTAAATCACACCCATCATGGCGATTCAATTCAGTATCAATTTCCTGATGCAACGATTCGATTATTTTCGATACTCCAGAATCCGCCATGTCTGTCTTGCCTACTGTTTAGACGAGTATGTGTGCGGGCAAGAGGGTAGTGGCTAAAGGAAGCAAGTTAGGAGGGCAAAATAGGTTTAGCACCACCGCAGCACCCAGGAGCAAATGGATAAAAATAGACCGGTAAGAGAAAAAAAAAAAAAAACGAGAATCGATACTCTTGCAGACGTGTCGATGCATCAGATCGTCGGCTGTTGGATCAATGCATCGTTACAAATTGATTATTATTTACACCCCTAGTTTAGGGTGGACGTTTTGACACAGCCCAGGTTAGCTCTGGGGAGAATGTTACCGTGGCAATAGAAACAGGTTGAGGAAACTCTCTGTGACACGGAAAAGTCAGAGTATCTCTTATTTCAATAAAAAAAAAACTTTGTGAGACAGACCATGCTGGTGCCAATGCAGCTAGGGTAGAAGACCAGAGCCAGAGGTGTCTGGCAACCGTCCCTAAGTTAAAATTGATAACATAAAATTTATGTAGTTTTAGTTGAGGTTAAAATTACCTTCTTGAAAAACAAAATGTGTTTTATTAAGCGTATCTTGAGTTTTTAATCTATTTGGAGTATCTTTAATCATTTTCTCTCTTGCTAATGTTGATGTACCAATAATATGCAAATAATGTGATCAAGCGGAGTAGTATTCAGAAGAAACTAAAGGTCAAGATAAGAAAAGGCAGGGAGACATACAGGAAGAGGCCTAAAAACAAGCTCCAGCAGAACAATATCAGAGATGTGTGATAAGGGGTGAAGATATCAGGCTTCAAGCAGAAGGAGGTTCAGACAAATGGGAGTCTTGACAGGACAAATGAAGTGAATACGTTCTTCAACAGATTCAGTTTAGGAATAAGCTCAGCATCCTTCCCTCCTGCCCACAGTCAAAATTGAAGAACATTGTGGAGACTAGACAGCATCCTCTTCAGAAAACTGGTAAATATGGAAGCAATATTGTTGCAAAATTATTTGCAAATGTGTGTGGAGAGTTGTGTGTCTGTATCTAGATTTGTTTGTGTGTGTAGTGGGATTTAAAATTGTGTGGGGAGATTTGTCTGTCTGTACTAGTATCTGCAAATCTGTAAAATAACTTGTGTGTAACTGTTTTTCAAAATTTGTAAAGAATCCACAAACCTGTATTCAGATCTAAAAATGTGTGTTAAGATTTGCAAATGATAAGATCTACAAATGTGTAAATCGGTCTGTAAACACACAGAGTCAATTAAGTCTGATTTTGTTTCAAAACCCAGAAATAAAGACAAATCATTGGTTACAAGTCAAACAGTTTCTCAGTTGGCTCTCTTTACACACGTGATTTTTGCTACACTTCTGCCGTGTGAGATCTGAAAATGCATAGAGAGGATTCGTATGTATAATATGTTGATTTTTGCCCTGCGCACAGGCTTGCAGGCTTATGGCAGCCGTTTATCATGAAATCAGCTTTTCTGACCTCCATAATTACTTCTAAGATATCAAAGAAAAAGTTTTGACTTGGAAAAACTAAATTTTGACTATCCTGAATCATACTTTAAGATATCTGAAATTATATTATGACTAGTGAAATTAACAATTCAAGATATCAACCAATCACATTTTTAAGAGTCAAATTGCCTTTTGAGATATCTCAAATGGCATCGCCTGATTCACCAATTAAAGCTTCACATAACTGGAATTATAATCAAGATATCTCAAAGTTAATTTCTACTATCCAAAATCTGAATTACGAAATAGCCCCCTAGTGCTGTAACTGAGCTACCGTAACAGGTGCCTGCAGAATTTAAGGCGGCTGCAATGGTGCCGGATGTTCTTGAAAAACTTGTTTCAAAATGCCTTTAAAGCTGCTTCAAAAAATAGCGGTGAATTGCTGCGGGGAAGTTAGTTAGAAGCCAGGTCATTAATGCTCCGCTTAATTAGCGGCATCTGGTTTACAGTCGATCCGATTCATGAGCTCAGATGTCGGCCAGCCGCTCTCTGTTGCTTCCTCTTCTCACGGCCGGTGGTTCACTTAGGGACCGTCAAACAATCATCTGAACTAAACAATCTTACACTAGAATTCAGTTTGAGGATTTGAGCTCAACCTTCTACACCACTAACCCAGACATCAGAACCAGACTGAATGGGGCACCCTTCACCTATCAGTGAATCACCAGCTTACTGACTAACTCAGTAGTCTATACTATAGTGTGTAGTTGGTTAAAAAATTATTTTCTATGACAAATGAGCTATAATATCACTCAGATAGACAATGACCCAATTCTGCTGAGCAATTTAAGAATATCAAATAATTACAAAGCAGAAGCAAAAGACAATCAATTAGTTTGGTTTGTTTGAGAAAAATAATAATAGATAAAGTAGTACTTACTCATATGTGAGTCTGATCCTAAAAAACAAAACCAATCTATTGTCATTCCCCTCTTACAGGAAAATCAACTCACTCAGAATTCCATAGTCCTGACACATTATACTGAAAAGTTCAGAAACTGTTGATTCCTTTTAATTGTATGGTTTAAAAAGGAGAAAAGTGAGGTCAAAGCTGTTTTTATTACTCCCATAAAACAAGCTTGGAGAGAGCCATGGAGTGCATAACCCTTCTCTGGTGGGCTAAAAGAACCATTTAAAGGGCAGAATCCATTAGAGTGGCAAACCAATGCCTCTGAACTGACCGAGAGCAGGCAATTGAGCTTAAAATTCTGCACTCACACTGAATCATGCTGAGAAAATAAGATGGCAAAGCATTAAAGATGAAACATTAGCACTGTCATGTTGAAGTTTTAATTGCTACTGGGACCCAAAGGCTGGTAAGTCTGTATGTCAATGAAATTGACTGACATTTTCTGCTTTTTATCAAAGGAATTCTTTTTAGTCAGGAGTTGAAAATTTGTCAAAGGACACTGAAAAACCAAATGCAACTGGAATAACAAACTAATCATAGATGTACAGTAGATTCCTACTTTCCTAGACTTTGTGGTATTCTCTTTCATCCGTTCATCCAAAAGGACAATTCTCTCAACTGAGTCACCTTTGCAAAGTACATCTCCCTTGTCATTATCAGACACTTCAATGAATACTACATAGCTGTAATGCCCGTGCTTAAAGAGATTATTCACTACATTTATTTCCTATTATCTCTGCTACTACTTTTGAATTCCTTACCTGAAAGGCCACTGATGACAGACAGGAGGAGAAATGGTTTCCATGGTGACCCCATACTTGTTGAAGAGGGTCCCTTCTGCTAAAATGTTAGCAGTTCTGGTTCTTCATGAAAGCCGTGGCTACAAACAGAGTGAGGAAAAGAAAAAAGTGTTGGTGGGCAGTTGCATATAACACATCTGCATTAGATCACTCTTCCCACTTTCCTGTTTACTTTCCAATTATACAAGGTTTTAGATCCCTAAATTCTCCCAGTGTGTCCATTATATATATATTAAATCTGATCCTATTTCCTGTCTTAGCATGTTCTGTGTCCAGATAAAAATAAAGCATATTTTCAGGTTCGTTCAGACTGTGATTGGCACTCATAACACTAACACTGATTTGGAATAAAAGCATTTATGATCCAAGTACACAACATGTGTAGCCTGTGGCAGCCCGCAACACATTTGGCATTTTATGATGAAGTATTTCATGAAAGACACAGTAATTCTATTAAAAATACTTTATTAATCCCAATTTATTCTCTCTTGTAGGTGTTGATAGCGATGAGCAGGAAGGTTGTTCTGAATCTGTATCACTCTGTTGTAGTTTAAAACTCATCTGAAGAGGATGCTAACTGTTGCTCCCTTATGTTCTTCACCTTATGAAGAAATCTTTGTAAGCCTAATCTATGCGTTCTTTCATCATACATGATAGTGGTGATAGTTATAATGATTATGACATACAGTCTTCTAATGTCTGTTTTTTTTTAACAATTTGTCAAGTGAAAAACAAACTTTAGTGCATTTCATTAAAATGGACTGTGATAACTTCATGGTTAAGACTGGAAATATGATTTGCTGTAAATGTGGTTTCTTAAGTTTTTTTGTAATGAATTTCCAACAATCTCAAAAGGAAAAAAAAAACATATTGGGGTATTATTGAGTCGTGTTTTATACCATTTGGAATAAGGCAGTGTTGCAAATGTTGAAAACATGCTAGGTTTTAAATATTTTTCTGGATATACTTCAAACCTTTAGTTCTCAAATTAGTATTTGGTCTGTGTTCATGGATACTTAGTAATATTGACGATAAACAAGGTAAATCTTAATAAAATATGTTTGTTTCAGAGCCAATAATCACAAATGGGCCAAAATAAATTATTCAATCTATTGGATATGTGCATACTTATAACAGCAGTATTGTAAAATATTTCTAAAAGTCAAACTGCAGCTCCTGACTGTTTTTAGAAACAATGCTTCCCTTCACTTATCTAATCAACCACTGAAACAGCAAAATTCATACTGAAATTACATCACACCCTCACTAGTAAATTGTAATCGGCCAGGAATTGGTTGCCCTAAAATTTATTAAGGCCATAAAAGCAAAAAATGGCTTCTTAGATTTCTATTTTTTAAACCTTTGTAAACCATATATCAGATTTGTGTCGGTCTACCACACAAAATCCTAATAAAATACATTAAGGTTAATGGTTGTAAAATGACAAAATGGTTAGGAATACTTTTAAAGACTAAATTTCTAAGCTATTTCAAAAGTTTTTGTCTCATACAAAAGATTTAAATAACACCACTAGGAACTGAACTTCAAATGACATTTTCTCTGCATTTGATGTAAATTATTTCCCAAAGCAAGGCACTCTTCTATTTTCTGGCTGTATTAGGCATGGTATTGTTATCCTTCTCAGGTATCTGCTGCGAGAAATCTAAAACACAAGCATCAAAAATATGATTTGTGGTCAAAATACAAAAGTTGTATCGGTATCTTGTGCTTGCACCTGTGAGAGGGATGTTAGGGGTAGGTATTATTCACTGACAAGATCCATGTCAAGTGTCTCGTTTATCTGATAGCTGAATTTGACTCATGTCAGAGTGGGTTGTCATATGCTCCATCTAACGATCTGCTGAGAGTATAAACACTCTCAACCCTTTGCACAATGATCTGTGATACTTTGAGTTTCTTATTCTAAATGGCCATTCAGAAGCAAAGGAAATGTGTAAGAAAAACTGTCCTGTTTAACTACCTACCAAAAAAACAATTGGTGAAACACAATTCAGACGTTAACGTATGTTATTTCAATATTACTGCATATCAATGTTAAGCTTTAAACAGTAAATTCTATTGTTACTTTATTTCAGAATGGTCCAACATCTGAGAAAAAGATACATTTTACAATTCAACAACATTTATCAGAACCCCTTGTTCCCCTTTTCTCTTATAGTAGGATTATATTCATGTCTTTAAAAAAAAAAAGCTTATGGCTATTAGAGCATCCTAAAAGTGGCAGAGATTATTCAGTTTGCAAGAGAATCCTCATAACAACTAAGTCACAACGGAGTAATATATGGTGTCTTCTCCTCATACTGCCTAAATGAAATTACCTCCTTCAGTGACAGACTGCTGCACCCTAAATGCACCAGAGAGCGCTATCACAGATCCTTCCTCCCCGCAGTTGTAAGTTGTTGCATTCAAGCTGATTTTGCACAGTTTCTATCTTAATCAGTTAAATAACATGCTGCTGGCATTTTGCACATCTCTGACGTTGCTGCTATTTTTAAATAACCATTACTGTAAAAATGTCCATAGCTGTGTATTGGTTATCTATTCTCCAGGTGCACAGTTTTATATTGTAAAAACACTTTAAAGTACAGTATTTAATTGTTTATATTTTAACTCTTCACTTTTTTGTTATTCGTATACATTTTTTTAAGGTCCATAATTGTGTGACCATTTTTTCTATAATCTTTTTGCTGCTGTGAAAACACCAGAATTTCCCCATTTTGGGAAGACAAAGATTATTTCTATTCTATTTTATTTCTATTCTATAAATCTGAAATTCCGATTTAAACGATAACCGACATATAGCAAGCAGAAACAGATTTTACATTTGTTGTACTGTAGTTTTTCCACATATACATAACATAATATTGCATATAACCATTAAGACTTTTCTGAAGAATATAAAATTATAAGTGTTTCCATTTTTTTCTACTGTATATCTCAGTTTTGATTTCCTTTGTCCTCTGATGTAAACAATTTAACATCAGCAGGTCATCTGTCTAGACAACTGTGCCACAGAAGTCTGTTTTTTTGTTAACGGTGCTTACCTTCTTTCTCTCCTGTGACCTTTGTATCGTCATGCTTGCAAACGGAGAAATGTATAAACAATGGGAGAGTTGGGGCAGGAGCCTAACAAGCATTCCTTTTAAATTTTCTTTGTTTTAAAGCAGTGTTATTATTTTAATTTATGCTGTTTTGGGTTCTATTCACTCTGGTGGTGAAGCAACTCTGCCCTGCATGTTATAAACGTCTCCCTCCTTCAGCAACCCTGATTTTAATTGATGTCTGATTAACAGGCTTTTACTGAATGACAATGATCTGAATCAGGTGTGTAAAAGTAGGGAAAGCTGAAAAAACACGTCTTTGAGGACCAGGGTTGAAAAGGTGATTTTTAGATCTAAAGGTTCAGCTTGACTTCATGGTTATAGCACTTCTTTTCTATCATTTTTTTTTCATACGTTTTTCATGACAAACAAATGTTTTGCATCTTGCATAGTGCTTTACTTAACTACAAAAATATAAATTTTCTTGGGAGTGAAACAGATCTCCACAACTGAAATATTCAGTGTCTAAATCACCAATCTGTCATTATTTGGATGCCATCTAGTCTGCCAGCACTTAATAAAAAAAAAAGAAAAAAAGAAAACTCAATGAGACCATGTACTGCTTTATTCTATCAGCGTTAAAGCCTAACATTTGAAAATATATGCTTTTTGTAATTAATCATTTCATTAAAAGAGTTGTGAACTCTAAAGCAATGCTTATGTTTTCTGGGAATAACAAGGGATATCTTCTTGTGACGATTTAGCATGAGAATTAATTGTAAAAGGTCCTAAATGCATCATCGTGGATCTGTCTTTGTGCGCACCCACTCAATACTATGCAGAAGGTCCAACAATGATTTACAAGTCCAAAAAATACTGACTAAATAAACTGGACCTAACAACAATAATGTCCAATAATCATCTTGTGAGCTCTGGACCAAAGTCATTTATGTAAAACATTATTTAATAGTTACATGGGAATTTTACCATATAATAACAACAAATTTGCAGATAGCTAACAATCACAGAACTCTGAAAATCAAAATAAACGAAGAGAATAGATGATATATATTATACATATATATTTTTTTTTTCAATTTTCTCTTTGTCCATGTTTCTTGATGGAAATTGCAAGCAACTGCTTTTTTTCTCAAGTGCACTGGTTGTGAAATGTTTTCTCCAGGGACAAAGCAGACGGTGTGAACAATGGGTTGTGTGCATCACAACACAACCCATCCTTCTGAAAAAATCAATAAAGGAATTTGTAACTTACTCTGGATATAACTAATTTAACTGAATTGGTTGTTAGAGACCTGCATTGCACCAAGACTTCAGAATAAAAAGCTGGTTTCAGTAACATGGTCAGTTCCTGACTGGTGAATGGAGTTCAAGACACCTTCGTACTGCAGATTACCAACATCCTCTGTGTGTATGAGATAGATGAAATTTGACTTTTATTCTTTAAAGTCTTCTATTGTTCAGTTGAAAGTGCTATAAATATTATGAGTATGAGAATACATACAGCCGTGTTAGTGAAAAATACACAATATTGGGTTTAAGAAAGAGAAACATTTAAGCAACATTTTAGATCAAATTAAATCCCACTTTGCACTTGTTTGTTTTCTTAGATTAAGGTTGGACAAATCTTTTATTTTTTTTATGAGGATTGTGTTAAAAAGTCAGTCTTACAAGCTCATACTTTGCTTTTTTTTTTTTTATATATATATTATATTTAGGATTTCCCTTTTTCACAAATATTGCAAGTATCTACAAAAAAGTCCCCTATTATATTTCAATTAAAATATTAAATATTTGAAAAATCTATTTAAAAAATAGGGCTTACAAAATCTGTTTTGCATAGAAATAACCAGCTGAGAGTCAAATCTAAAAAAAATCATCAGTCAGATCATCATCTACAGTTATTCTGTGGAGGCTGTATCTGGCCAGGCATTTCTTTGTAAATGAGGCATCTTTCAGAAATCAGACCTCGGCTTAGCAATTGCTTCCAAAGAAATTAA